GCAGACTGTAGTCCATTCATCCTTGGCCATTACTATATTAGTGACTAATAAAAAGGTAACTCAAAATTATAAGCAATGTTAGCCACTTGATTATTGTATATACCATTTGGGAAGAATATTTAGTTTTTTAATAATGCAATTATTTGAAATAAGGGTCAAAATAAAGGGTTCTCTTAAGTTTTCAAAATCATATTTTTGGTCAAAATAACAATTCCTACCAAAGCCTCATAACTCATCAATCACTTAGAAATCTGTGATTTGGCTCTTTAATAAACTTTGAACTAGCCAGTTATAAGGCTATATACATAGTAATCACTCAGAAGAATAACACTTGTCAGGTTTTTTTGTTCCTTTTTATATAACTAATATATTTCTGAAAAGCCATATATATGTTTAACTTTTGTCAATCGAATTGTTTTTCCATTAAAATTCCAGAGGTGTTTTTACCTTCAACTGTCAATAACTCCTAGCTAAAATTTTTCTCCTAAGTTAAAAAATATCATTGGGAAAACACTATCTGTGGTGACAACTTTTGTAAATATTATCTTACATTTATTTATACAGCCTTTTGCAAAACATTTGTGTATACTTTATGAGAAACAATGGAAAGAACAATGAACTTCAGAGTCACAAGAACTGTCTGGTCCCTGTTCTGACACTTACAGATAGTGTGATGAGACAAGTTACAACTTCTCTGAGCTTCAGTTAATTCATTTATAAAATGGCAATAATACTTGCAGTTCCTATCTATCAGGGTTTGTTGTGAGGCAACTCCTATGTAAACTGTGAAGCTCTTTATGTTTGGGGTTTTAAAATCAGGTTTTCTTTACACAGGGCTGGCCTATACTGAATCTTATATTAGATGCTACACCTATAGAGTGATTAATATGTCACAGGTCTTTGGGACCAAGGACCTCACAGCTATGATCTTGACCTATGATACCCAGCTCCACAGCACTGAATCGCAATGAAACAAACTTACATTGTGCAAATATTAATATTTTGCTTGCTATATGATCTGTTACAGCAAAATGAAATAAACCCAGCAGTAACAAATAGCCTGGTTACTTTTATTTAAACTTACCAGCAACTGGACACTATCCTTTGCGAAGAGATACAGAATCTTATAAATGCTTGCAAAGATTAAGGGGTAAGAGTAACCTCTCAAACCTTCAACCCATTCCCAGGTCAAATAACCATAATTAATAATATTAAGGACAAAATGACAAATAATATAAAAGTATAAAATACTTTTCCTATTCAATTCTCATCTCAAATTTCAAAAAGCACATTCTTTGTTTTTTAACAATGATTCAAAAAGCACTCAGGCCAAAATACTTCCCCTTTTTTTTAATTGGAATTCTAGGAAAAGCCCCCTTCACTATCCAGACTCCAAGCCACCAAAGGTCCATAGCATATTTTCTACTCAGTATCCTTCCACAACATGCAGCATATTGGTGCTTAAGAGATTACTACTGAATGCTTATTGAAGCAACACTGCCCCTAAAGAAAAGTACAAAAGGCGGATTAGAGAAAAATAAGAAAACTGAAAATTAGTTTCAAACACGTATTAGGGGTTGAGCATAAAACCTAAAACATTTTTAGTTTGGGGAAAAAAAGAACTCTAAAGGATATTTGAAAACCATGTGATGTGCAACTTCAAGAGACTGCCAATATTCGTCAGGAACAAAGCTTGTCTGGACTAAAAAGCAGTTAAGTATTCTTAGAGAAATGGTAAACAAGACCAGGTAAATGTTTTCACCAAGAAGATCTGAGAAAGCAAAATGAACATTTGTGGTACCAACGTTAAACAGGTTAATTTCCCCTTAATCTAACTTATTTTGCTACAGCCATACAACTGAAGCATTTTTAGTAAGCAGCCCTTGTCTAAGTCTTAGAGATCTTGGCCTCACCCATTTAAGATCATTTCCTAGAGATGGTCCTAGGAGAGAATAGACTCCTATTCCTGCCAACTCTAATGGCCAGGAACCCCACTAGATGATTTTAGACCATTATGTGCCATTGAGCTTTGAAAAAGGATGTTCTCTACCATGTCTGTACACATACCAAAATGTTATGAGAGACAACATGGAGCAGTGGACAGTCAGGAAGAACTGATTTCAGGTTCAAGTCTTGCCTCTTGCCATTTGGTAACTATGTGAATCTTATACAGTCAGGGATCTGCAATGTGAAGGTCATGGCCCCATGGGGGCCTGTGGAATAACTTTAAGGGGGCTATACTGAGTTGATCCAAAAGGGATATGTGACCAACCAATGGGGAGATAATCTTATCATTACGGCACCCCATAAACACTACCCATCACACCCCTTCCAGCTTCCCAAGAGAATGGTCATAACCTATCCAGCCCCAAACTCCCAGCTGATGAGCTTACCATTGAGCTTTTGTTTTACAATGGAAAGAGGGATGAATAGAAATGAATGGTTTGTGATTACATTATACATACCCCAACGTCACCTTTCTTCCAAACCTTTTCTGTGGAGGGTACCATGATCCTTCTAGTCACACAGGTTTTATCCTTATCTCCTCTACCTCACCTCTCATAACAAACCAGTGATCAAATATCATTACTTCCACAACATCTTTCCCATTAGGTTCTTCTCCACTTACATAGCCAATACCAAAATCAGCACATACATTTTGAGGGTTTGTGATCAAAAACTTTTTACTGATGGGATGCAGTCATAAAAATTTGTAGCCCATTGCCCTAGGCCATTCTCTAAGACTGTAAGTTGAAGAACTTGACAACTGCATTGGTGGAAGAAGGTGCCTCTCTGGGATTATTTTATGCTAATGAAAACATAGTGGGGGAGATACAATTTCATACATGTGATTTGCATAAAGAGAAACTTTGGTTTGGCATGTAATGGGTTAACAACTCCTACATGTAGTTCTTCGTGGAAAAATCTATTAATAAGTTGCTTGGGACTTGGCACTACAGCTCCGGACATGTACAGCGCAGCAGTACACCACTTATAGGTAGATATGTCGTTGGTCTGCTCATGAGATCTTACTCTGAGATATCTGCTTTTTTTAATTTGACTGTCACCTGGATTCCAGGTCTCTCTTATTCTCCTCCCCTTTGACACAGTGCCACACTGCTGGGGCTAGTACAGCATGTATAGCCTACACCATTCTCTCTTTGCCTGGTACACAAAGATAAATTTTGCCAGTCTAACTCTTAGATGAAGTTATAGTTATTCTCTGCTTCTGTGAATTCAGGCATAGTGTTTCCTAGTAATGTGATGAAGATTCCATATTTGTTAAGGTTCTGATGTCTGGCTGTAGAGGATACGTATGCTACAATTACCACCTTCCTCTCCTTTGAATGGGCTCAACTTTTCCCTCTAGGTCTTTGCAATTAGGGGAAAGAAAGAAGTAAGGTGGCAGCTAGGTGGCGCAGTGAATAGAACACCAGCCCTGAAGTCAGGAGGACCTGAGTTCAAATCCAGCCTCAGACCAAACACTTGACAAGTACTAGCTGTGTGACCCTGGGCAAGTCACTTAACCCCAACTGCCTAAAAATTAAAGAAAAAGAAAGAAAGAAAGAAGGAAGTGCTATATAGGGCCATACCCTACTCTGGTCCTACTGTTCCCTCTCTCTAATCCAAAAAGTGCTTCCTCCTTTCTAGGTAGAGGAGCAGAAATACAGTTCTAGCGCTCGACTGTTCCTAAAAACTTAACTGGGCAGGTCAACCTCCCCTCCTCAAACCCGTTGGCTGCAAATTTGGGAGGCTGAACCAGACGGGGTGTTCTTAAACTTTTTAGTGTCTTGGACCCTTAGCAGTCTGGTGATGTTATGGGCTCCTTTTCCAAATGTTTCTAACCGCATAAAACACAGGATTACAAAGGAAAGCAATTATTTAAGTAAAGATGTATTTTTTTCCCATTCAAGTTCAGGGACCCCCTTGGGCCCTATTTTTGAACCTATGAACAAGATTCTATTCCTATTCAATTTTATCCTATTAGATCTGGACTTTTTTTTTAAGGCAATTGGGGTGTGACCCTTGCCCAGGGTCACACAGCTACTGTCTGAGGCCGAATTTGAACTCAGGTCCTCTTGACTGGAAGGCAGGTCACCCAGCTGCCCCTAGAACTGGCCTATTGGGACGACTTCACTCGGTGTGGAGGGTGACCCGGTTCGTTCCTAGGCCTTAAGCTCGGATGGGTGGAAGGGTTTTAGGGCCCGGAAGGTGGGGCTGTGGGGGAAGAGTTTGAAGCGAGGGAGGCTCATTCCCAGGTGGGCTCCAGGGCCTCCCCACCCCACGGAAACCACAGGCCCTCATGCGAGCCCCGGGGGTGTGCGGGGCTCCCGCGCCCTTCCCGGCTTCCCGCCGACCGGACGTTTACAAAAGAGACACAACAAACGCGGAGGGCGGGGGGAGGGGAGCAAGACCAGCTTCCTGCTCGAGAGGGAGAGGGAGCTGGGGATCGTGAGGGCGGAAGGGAGGAGGGAAGGCACTGTAGGCACCCGCGCTGCGAAACAATCCGCAGTTATTACAAATAATAAGCAATGCGGAAAAGGGGTCGGAGCGGAGGGAGGAGGGCGGTGGAGGGGCTTTAAAAGCTCTCCCAGGAGTTAGAGCGGGAGCCCGGTGGCGGGCTCGGCATTCTGGGTCCTAGTGCCCCGTTCTCCAGCTCGTCCCAAGCCCCGCTCCGCGCCTCCCTCCTTCCCTCACCGAAGCGGCTCCCAGCGCGCCCTTCCGGGGGGCTGCTGTACAATACAGACTTTCTCTTCCTCAGCTTCACCGTCTCGGGGGAGCTGCTCCGGCGCCTCCTGAAGAAGAGGCTGCCCCTGGCCCGCTCCATGGTCGAGCCAGACAGCGGCCCTGACTCCTGGCCGCGCGCCCCTCCAGACCTCCGCGGCTCACCAGGTGAATGAGAAGCGTGTGACTTCGCCCTTCGCTCTGCTTGGCCTCTTCGAGCCGCCGTAGCTGACGGGCGCAGGGGTGCCTGGGAATTGGAGGATTTTCTTCTAAGTCCCGGCCCAGGTGCCACATTCCTTCCGGAGCGGCCTTCTGCGCTGTACCCGAGGAGTCGTAACCCCGGAGCGGCCTCAGGCTCAGGGAAGGTGAGGGGCCGCGGGCCATCTCTGCCCTGTTTTCGCTTTTCTCCCGCGGGAGCGATGGAGGGGCAGTTCCCAGATGGAGACGAGAGCCCCTCGGCCGGCAGCCGCTCAGGAGGTTTCTTCTGAGCCTCTCGATGAGCCTAGACGATTCTTAAAATAGTTTTAACTTCATGTGGCCCCTCGAGTCACGGAGGGGCTGGACCCCGGGGAGGAGCTGACTAATGGCAGGTGGAGGCGGAAGACCCGGGACCAAATCTTTGCCCGGCGCTTACAAGCTGTGTGACTCTGGGCAGATCACTTGCCCTCTCTGGGCCTCAGTGTCTGCATCACTTTTACTGGTCCAGATGATCTCTAAGTCCCCTTCCAGCCCTAGATCTCATAAATCTTAGAAGTCATCCTACTTGGAGTTGGGAACAAAAGTCTCTTGCTTCCCAGGACTTTTGGGGAAAAGCCATTGCTTTTCTAACGGAGGCTTAAGACCCTCACCAGATCCATATTTGGTCATTTATTCATTCATTTACCCATTTAGTAAGCACTTTTTGGAGGGTGCTGCTAGGAGCTGGAGGAGATACAGGATTTAGATAATTCATTGCAACAAATGTAATTTGCTCCTTGCAGGGCACCGGGATAGGTGCAGGGAATACAAGGTTAAAAAAAATTAGACAAAAAACTTTGCATTTAAGGAGCTGACATTCTAATAGTGAGGAGGTTACCAAATCTATGTAAGTAAGTACAAAGCATTTGGAAGCCAGAGTGATCATTAACAACCGGGGTGGCTCAAGGAAAGCTACGTGAAGAAGGTGCCACCCTAGTTGATCTTTGAAGATTGGCAAGGTTGGAGAGACAGAGCTGACAACCCAAGGAACTGAATGGGGAATGGAGATGGGAGATAAAATCTCAAATTTGGGAAATGTCTAGTATTCTAGTTTGGCAGGAAAAGAGTTTATGGAGGGGCATCATATAAAATCAGGCTAGGCCAGGTGATAATAGCTGACATTTATATAATACTTTGGTTGTGTACTTTATCTCATGTGACCCTCACACTACAGCCCTATAAAATAAGCATTACAGATATTATTCTCATTTTACAGATGAGGCCCACAGAGGTTAAATAACTTGCCCAGCTTCTAGTCAGACAGGTAATAAGTGCCAGAGGTGGGATTTGAATGCAGATTTTTCTTAGTCCATGTCAATTATTTTGTCCTCTATGCTATACTGCCTTCATTGTAGAGGACCTTAAATTCTAGGCTAAGGAGTTTCTATTTTATACTACAGCAGTGGGAAGCCACCGAAGGTTTTAACTGGAGGGTGAGCAGACCCAGACCTCTACCTTTGGAAGATTGTTTTGGTATATATGTGGGGAATAGAATATAAAGAGACACTGGCCCCTATCCTCACTGACTGTTGTTGTTTTGGTTTTTTTTTTGATGGGGTGGAGGGAGGACTGTGTAGAAGACAAACCAGCTAACCTTGATGTTCGGTATTGCATGAGGAGGGTACAAATTAAAATGCTGTATGAAGTTCAAGAGGAGATTCTTACCAACATTTTTTTGAGAAAGGGTCCATGTCAGAGGTTAAAAATCTGATCTGAGAAGAGGTGAGCTGGGCAGCTGCATTTTGTATAAATGCTATATGAAGTTCAGGAGGAAGAGGTGGAGATTAAGAATCACAGAAGGTTTCATGGAACAGTTGATATTTGAGTTGGGCTTTAAAGGATGAATAGGAATTCACCATTCTGAGCATAGATGATAATGAACTGAGGCAGGGAGGTGGGAAAGTGAAGAGCAGCAGGACATATTTGGGGGACCACAAGTTAGTACAGTTTAGGCAGATTATATGGTACATGTAAGGCAAAGTAGATAGACTGCTGGGCCTGAAATCAGGAAGATTCATCTTCCTGAGTTCAGATCTGGTCTCAGACACTAGAGTGACTCTAAGTAAGTCACTTAACCCTGTTTGCCTCAGTTCTTTATCTGTAAAATGAACTGGAGAAGGAAATGGCAAGTCAGTTTAGTATCTTTGCCGAGAAAACCCCCAATGGGGCCATGAAGAGTTGGACACAACTGAACAACAAAGGAATAATATGTGACAAATTTATAAAGGAGGAATAGCACTGTATTGTGAAGAATTTTGAATGCTAAGGAAAGGAATTTTTATTTCACTGGTAGGTAATAAGAATTCAGAAAATTTTAAAGAATGAAATTCCTTGATTGGAAATATTGAAAAGGTGAATACATGGAAATCCATGGGTATTTCTCTCTCCCCCAAATTTGATGACAGTGAAATGACCATGTAATTTGTTTTATGAGAAAAATCATTTATCCATCAAACTTGCCATTCTAGATAGTACACCATGCCAAGCTCCATTGTCTCCCAAAATAACAAAGAGTACATAAAATATTAAAGGATGATATGCCAAATTAATATTTTCCATTTTCTTTTTTTGTATACAGATCTGAAGATATTTCCACGGATATACACATTTAACTTTTGAAAACATCCTTGTGGTCTTCTGCATTTGTTGATAAGATGTTTGGTAGATTGACTTTCCCTCAAATGTTTCTTGCATGTGTCCTTGGAGTTGCTGGAGGAATCTATATTTATCAACCAATCTTTGAACAGTATTCTCGAGATCAGAAAATTTTAAAGGAAAAGTCACAAATTGTTCAAGAATCAGAAGAGAAGAAAACTTAATGATGGACTTGAACTGTACTAGGTGCTTAAAACCCAAGTCTTTGACAAGATATACCTATTATTATTTTGAGCATGATTAAGTCAAGGATAATGATCTAGTGGTTCTTAACACTGTTTGAACTTTTTATATACTTTTTTCTTGTTTGTCATATTGTCCTAAGCCTACTGATTTCCTATCACTAAAATCAGTATCTTAATGTTGTAGTTCTATGCTTGGCACCAATTTCCTTAAACTTGTAGTGTGGCCACTTGCTTTTGGTGGCAGTTTTGGGGAGGTCTACACAAGTGAGTATTAGTGGTGTTTACAGTAGCAGGTGTAGGACAGGAGTTTTTAACCTGAAATCCATGGACTCTGGCGGGGGATGGGGGGAGAGGGAGGGTCTACAGATTTCAAAGGTGGGGGAGGTCCTGATCTTCTATAAGAAAAAGATTACATCTTCATTTCAGAATTCTTGGTTTCTTTTTCAATCTTATATATTTTATGTATTCAAAAACATTTTTCGAAAAGGGATCCATGACAGAAACGGTTGAGAATCCCTGATTTGGGAGGAGATGAGCTGGGTACCTGCCTGATGCAGAAGCTTCCACACTTAGCTTCAGAAGATTCAAAAGCATGCCACCTGACCAGAAGCTCCTCATTGCTCTAGTCTTCTCCCCAACCTTCACCTTTGCTGTCTTCAGTCTCTGGTAAAGTGGAGAATTATTAAGAGTTGGACTGACAGATACAGTTGGGACACTTGGCAAGTTCACAGGAAAAGTTTGTGGACAGGAAAGGTGATAGAGTGCACGTTATATCTTGTAGTAAAAATATGTAACACCATCTTTCCATGTAACTCAACACTGATCCCCAAATTATAAACTTTGTATCAAAAAGTGGAGTAGGGAAGCAAAAGAGGAAATCTGTAATTGAAAAAGTACTTAAAAAAAACCTAATTGTCATCTACCCAATATCAGTTTTCCAGGCTTAGTGTTTTGATAGCTTTTGTGCAGCCTCTAGCTTATATTAACAAGGATATACACAATGCTTTTAAAATATAAAGAATTATTTTCCCTTCTGAATGAATTTAGTAAAACTAGTAAGGTCTAATTTCAGTTATCTGTGATGAGTACATAAAATTAAAATCTATAAATAATTAACAAAATGAGATACTAGGATCTGGCTGGTTAACAGATGTTCTGATTTCAAATCCTGCCTCCACCAGTACAATGCAGCTAAATCACATATTTGAACAGTTGCTGGTGTTACCTACAATGTAAATGACGACACTATTTAGTTATAAAGCAGAAGTGATTGTTTTGCTAGAACTCCAAATTGCACGAACGAAGTTCTACATACAGAAATTTCACCGAAAAGATTGTTTCATCTATGTGTTATTGGGTTTAAATAAGAACATATCAGGGAAAAAGCAACTCTGAAGTTCTCTGTAAAAACAGTGGTGGTATCTACTTTAATTCCACAGTCAAATATATTCCTGGGAGAAATTTGTAGCATTGTTTTCGTAGGTAATTGTGCTAAACTGACAATATTAGTATATTCTTTGAGTCTAGCTTATTGAGAATTGTAGAAATAGCTTTCGGGTTGTTGCCTAGAGTTATCAGGAAATCACAGTTTCCTTCTAAAGCCAAAATGCCTATTCGCTTAAAATTGCATAAAAATCCATCACAATGTTCGTGGAAGCAAAACAGTCATCAGTGCTTTGGTGCCAAAGCACTAGATACCAAAAAGCCTGGGAACAAATGAGATGATAAATGAGAAGGTATTACAAGAAGTTGAAAACTCTAGACAAATTGTTCCCAAGTTACAACTTTGGGTTGTATTCCACTTAGGTTTTTTTCTCAATTAGATTGTTATACATTTTTAATAGATTCCCAGGCTAGCCCACAAAAGCCTCTTTAATAGGAAAAAAGTGACTAAGCAAGCCAAGATTGGTCCCTGAGCTCTACCTTTTCTATTTATGTGGTATTTTAAATCTTACTTGCCTTTCCCATTGAGGGGACAGGAAGACCATCATGGCTAGTCATCTGCACCGTATTTGGTAAGCTCCAATTTAGAGGCTAGGCCAAAGAACCTCTCCTTTGCTATAACTATAATAAGGTCAGGGCAGACTAGTCTGCCAGCTCACCATGGAGTTGCTCTATGAACCTCATAGACTATGCCACTGCCCGGCCCCTACTATCTTAGGGATTCAGTCAAAGGGCTGCACTTGAAGACCTAGAGAGCCACATATGGTCTGGAGGCTACAAGTTCCCTACCCCAGTCTTAGCAGTAGCAAGTCCATCATAAAAACATGTTGCTACCTGGTGCCTGGAGTTGATATTCTGTTCCATGGAGCAGTGCCATGGCTGTTCACATGGAAGGGACATTGTAAACCAGGGGTTTGTAACTCAGGTATTGCTTATACTTAAAACACCAAATATCCATCAAATGGGATATGGAACAATCAGAGATGAGTGAGGGGAAAATTGGGGCAGCTAGATTTAGCAGTGGCAGCAGACAGATAAATGAGATGAATACTAGATGTATCTAAACTACATGTACTAGATACAGCTAAACATTTTCATTTTATCCCAGAAGTTACAGGGTTCCAGGTTGTTCCTCAAAAGGAGGAACGCGTATAGCGCGGGCACTTATACAAGCCAGAGACTCATTTCAGGCACACAGGTAGGTATCTAAATTTAAGACCATTGCTAATAGTTGTCCAAAAAATAGGCTTCCCTGTGAGAAAGTTCAATATTTGTTGAATTGAAATTAAGACCAAATGTTTACTTTGGCTTTTTAGCTGCATGGTTGAACAAAGATGTTAAATAGGTGCCTATGCAATGCAGCCTGCAACACTTAAGAGTGTAACTTGAACCAGATTAAAATATAACTGGGAAATCGTTAACAAAATAAATAAAAATACAAAAGAACAGTTAATTTTTATGTAGTTGGCAGTCAACACACAGCCCACAGAGATCCTTATGTACAGTATAATAGCTCTTTCTATTTGAGTTTCATACCACTGATGTAGAGGGTATCTAAAGCTGAACTAAATGACCGTTAAGATACCTTCCAATTCTAAGAGTGATGGAAGGACAGACAGAGGCCCCTGATTCATAGCTCCAGCGTTTGTTAGGAATTGGAAGAACAAGATGTCTCATTCCTCACAATGCTGTCTAGCTCCTGCAAGCTACCAGGGTCTTGCCCTCAGGGAGCTTATAGTTTAATTGGGGAATGCAAATACACAAACACTCATGAACTCAAAAGATAACTAACAATATAGGGAAGTATATTGATACTAGATGAGTGATAACAGTTTTAGAGATTACCTCCTTTTCTATTTCACTTTTAATAAACGAATGGTATTAACCTTCCCATTTCTAGTGGTAATGACTATGGCCTTACATATCCTAAAGACTTTGAGATGTATATATGTGTGTGTGTGTGTGTGTGTGTGTATATAAAATATATATTTTGGTGAAGCAATTGGGGTTAAGTGATTTGCCCAGAGTCACACAGCTAGTGAGTGTTATGTGTCTGAGACTGGATTTGAACTCAGGTCCTCCTGACTCCAGGGCCAGTGCGCTATCCACTGTGTCACCTAGCTGCCCCGATTTTTTTTTTTAATGATTCAATTCAAGTAAACAGTTTGCTTATGTGTGCAAGTTACTGGATGGGCAGGGGGTTCTTGTCCTCAAAATGTTTAAGTTTTCGTTGAGGAAGACATCACATCAGGGAGTGATGGTTGAGGATGGTGTTTTGGTTAGGGAAATCCTACAGATGGAGTCATTGAGTAATTGACTGATGTAACCTTTCTAGGAACAGCAGTCTTGAACTGGTTCCCAATGTCAGAGGTGGAAAGCAGAGATGGGCAAATGGTATGAGGGTGGAGACACAGCACATGAAGGTGGCTGGAGAGCAGCACTGTGGTGGGCCCAGGTCAAACTGGTCTCTCAGTCAGAAGAAGCCCTGGATCCCATGATGGGAATTGGAATGCCTGGTCAGATGTGGAGAAGGAAGATGAGAATTCTGAAAGGCCAAGAGTAGGAAGTGTTTCTATTCAGAGCCCACACAATCCTGGGAGGCTACTTAAGTTCTCCAAGAGCTTTCTGAGATCTGTTTGTATCTGCAAACATGGCTTGCTAGCCTGGGGTTGGCTTCCTGGCCAGCTTCTCAGCCTCTTTACTTAATCCTTCTGCAAAGGTATTGTGGTTTGGGTAGAAATGAACCTCAGATCCACCTCCCAGACATCATCCAGAATCTTTCCCTCCTTCAATTTACAGCATTTCCCACGGAGGTTCCTGTGGGAAAAAAACTGGGCAGAGATGAGTTGCCAAGAATGGATTTATTCAAAATGCAGAGCCTCTGGGGTATTCTTTAGTCTTTTCAGATGTCTGTAGGTACAAGTGAAGGGCGTTCTCAGCAACAAGTTACCAGTAGTGACTGGTTTTATGAGCTGCGATCCAGCAGTTACTGTTTTGACCCAGTAGCAGCAATGAACAACAGGGTGTCTCTGGATAGGAGCTCAGCCGTCCAACTGTTTCAATAATCACAGGCCTTAGGTTTAAAGAAACGAAACTGGCATAAGAGTGAGTCGCTAGGTGGCAGCAAAGGCTGACAGATTTCACCAATTTGGTTCTATGTCATTTTGCTATGCAATTAGGTCATGCATCCTGTTTCTCTCACAGTTTAAGTTGCTTTTAAACTGAATTAGCCCATACCAGGAAGAACTGCATTTATAACCAATATGGTTTGTGCTCATATTTCTCTTTCCTTTGCCACCTTTGATTCCTTTTCACAGCAGAATACTTTTGCCTTTCCCCTTTTGCAGGAATTTTCTCAAAAGTCAGAAATTAGAGACCAATAAAGGATGGGACGGACGGAGCTATCTATTATGCTTAGTGAGCGTGTACGCTCTGAGTGGAAATCCTAGGCTTAGGACCTCATGGGAGGTGAACTGACAAAGGGCTGTACCCCTAAGAGAGTCAGGGTTAGGGCTCAAGTCAGCCACGCACCGGCAGCAGGGTCTGTGTCCTTGGAATCGTTTTCTGAAAGTGGCTCTTGGGAAGGCGCGTGCAAGTTTAATAAGGAATGACTAAACAAAATGCCACACTGCGACTGAAGTGGATCGTTACATGTTCATTCCCTTCCGTCCTTCCACCCATCTAAACAGTACCCTCTTTCCGCTTTCCTTCATTTCTCCTCAACTAAACATTAACCCTTTCTTTACTCCAGCTAAAAAATCTTCAGTCCCAGCTGGTAGCAACCTCACACACCACTTACTCCTTGCAGCCAAGGCCGGGAAGACCTTCGTCTGTGGGTGACAGGAAATCGGCAGCAAAGCCCAGGAACCCTAGCTAGGGGCTCCCCTCTTCCCACTGGTCCGCCCCCGCCCCCTCCGGAGTTCCAGGTGGCTTCTACCCAGTTGCAGGGGCGGGGTCCTCTCTCTAGCCTCTCCTACTTTCCCCGTGGGGCATCAGGCGGCAGGTGCAGGGCCCGTTCTGCTACTAGCTCTGGGCTCCATCCATCGCTCCTTCCCCCAGGAGGGAGAGATCAGAGGACGCCAAAGCGACCTAACTTCCCACGTGGGCGCAGGGGCCGAAGACCTCGGTTGGGAGGTACCCTGCGGGTGAGGAGGAGGAAGAGGGAGGTGTAGGAAAGAAAGGAGGACCCGCCCCCACCTCTCATCTCCTTTACGGGAAGTGATGTGGGGCCGGACGGAACATAGCCGCCAGGGACCCAAAAAAGGGCAGGCGGCAGAGTGGGCTCTGAGCGCACCGAGCGTGGACCTGCGGCTGCTTCGGGGTCGACGGGACACTGTAGACAGGTGAGGGCAAGGCAGAGATCTCCTTAGTCCGTCCCCCATGCACGAGATCGCCCGGAGTGTGGGGGCTGGGGTGTCGTTGGCTGGGTGGGAGAAGCAATGATGGGCATCTCGCTAGTGTTCCAGGGAGACGGTTCACATTTTTAAGGGGGGGGGGTTGCGGATTATGGTGGTTAGTGCAACAGGACCCGCGAGTGTTCGTTTTGGTCTGGGAGGTCAGACAAGGGGGAATGGGAGTGGTGCCCCGCTTCACCCCTAGAGCTCCAGCCCTGGGGCTTTCCTGGGCTGACCCTGGGGGAAAACTTGCTTTTAGGAGCTCTAAATCCCCCCGGGGAAGCTCCCGAGAGATGACATCTGTTTAGGGGAAGTGGTCTAGGGCTGGCCAGAAGACAGAAGTCTAAGGGATGGATTCCAGATTGAGGAGACTGGTTGGTTTGAGTAGGATACTTGGCTGGTGAGGGAAGACCGGAGGACAGAACTTAAGATCTACCTTGGCCTGTGTATCCAGATGTTGGGGAGGGATTATCCCCTCGAGAGAGGGGACTTAGAAATATAGAGAGGAAGAAAGGAGGAAAGCCCTGAGGTTTTCTTTCTTCTATACATTTTATTTTGCTTTTTAAAATTCCTTTACAACCTGTAGAGCCCAGTTGGTGGAGTTTGGCCCTAGGATGTCATTCTTTCAGTCAGCTTCTCTACAACTGGGTTTATCCAGACTTTGGCTTTGAGGTTGTGCAGATGTCTGGTGGTCATCTTTTAAGGGCAAAGCCCTTCTTCTGAGCTTCCCAATAAGTCACATACTGGGGTGTGTGTGTGTGTGTGTTCCAGAGTGTCACATCTCTCTTTTCTCTGACATGGAAGAGGAAGATGGTAGTGGGGGTCCAAGCCCTTTGGTGGTTCATGGCCTGCTCATTGGTCTCTCTTCCCATGAATATTTTCTTCACATACTGTGCTGTTCAGAGCATCTAGTATCAGGTGCTTTTCATGGTGAATAAAACAATCTCTGTAAAGAAGAAGAATTAGATAAGAAATATTAAAGTGAACTTCTGTTAGCAGGTAGCAAGGTACATGGGAAAAATCATATTTGGAATCAGGAGACTTGGGCTCCAATCCCAACTCCCAAAACCACTTAATTTTTTTGGCTCTCAGTTTCCTCCTCTTAACACAGGGATACAGAATTTTTACTGATCTACTCACAAGGTGTTTTTGAGAAAAGCACCTTATAAACACTGAGGGAAAATTATTTTCCTTCTTACTCTACCCCCTTTTTATATGACACATCTTCTTATTAAACTTTAGTTCCTCGAGGGCAATGTCTATTCTATCTAAATTTTATTTTGTCTTTCACAGAAATGTACTAGTGATCTGGCCAATAGGAGCTTAATAAAGGTTAATTGAATTGAATTGACCTTTCTCCATTGATCTCCCACTGTTCTTGCTCTTTGGCATTACTAGGAAACTTTAGGTTCTCAAACTTGTACCTTCCAAAGCAAAATTCGCCTCTAAAAGTAGACCACTGGAACCAAGAGGAATTCTGCCTTTGGTTAGAAATTAGGAGCCATAGTCAATGTTTAGCAGCCAAAACTTCAGCTTATAAACAATGAGATGACCTAACTATATAGACTAGGCAGTTACTTGTTGCCAAGAAAGCCCTAAGTGGAGTCACAAAGTCAGATGTGACTGAAAAATGACTGAACAAATTTAAGACTGAGACTGTAAGCAAAAATCTCTTTCTGATTTTTTAAAGTAAATTTCTTATAGAGAAATTTCATTTTGTGCCCCTTGCCTCATTGCCCCAGGGCTGCATGGACAGAATTGATGCCTTTGCCTTCAGGTCAGGGATGTTTGGGATTTTTCTGTGGTCTGGAATCCTTCAAGCTTTACATTAAGCCTTGATTCAGTATCCACACGAGCCCAGGCCTTCTCATCCTACATGACTCATGTCTATGTTCTCCTACAGACCTTCTGATCTTCCCAATGTACTGAAGACCTTCTTTTGCGTCTGCCCACATTGGGTGGATGTCAGTGTAGCCCAGGCTGTCCATCACTTGTGCTGTGTGTCACACCAACCTCCTGTTCTGATTATGCTTTGCACATAGTGCGGAGTTTAATAAATGTTTGAGGAATTGAATTGCAGCTATTTTGGGAACAGATGAGCAGGAAAACCCTGATAGGAAAGGTAAAATGTCTTTAAATGTAGTTTTGTGATAATAGGCCAAGTTTTGATAGCATTAAGTGCTCTGGTATTTTGTTTTTTGTTTTTGTTGGGTTTTTTTTGCATCCTAGTCTCTCTGTGGTGACTTATATTGGTTGTACAAGGCTCAAGGACCATCAGCTTCCTTTTTTTTCTTCCTTATGAAGGTTTTAAAAATTATGTACTATCGACAGAGTAAAATGGAATATTTTAGTTTCTCTGCCACCCTATCCATTGGTATAATGGTCTCTCATTTTGTTTCTCCTGTGGTGATAATAATATTAATTAATAACTCATCTTTCTGGACATACTTTAAGGTGACAAAATGCTTTTCTTCACCATCACCCTGAGAGGTGGAT